TCTTGCCAGCTAGGCCAGGATGCAGAGGTGGCGGTGTGTTTCAACTCCAAATAGCAAATGTTATTGCTGGGAACTTGGACTGTGGAAAACATCCCTGATGTTTGCTAAAAAGAAGTCAGATCCATACTGAGGGCCTGGATCAGCCACTAAACACTCGCAGGCTTCCACTCTCTCTCCTAATACTCAGCTTGCATTTGTATTTCTTCGTGTCCATTGTCTGAAAGGGCCTGGAATGCTCTTCCCCTTGGGCTGAATGGTGGTCCCCTGAAGATGTCCATGTACTACCCTTTGACTTGTAAATGTTAACTTGTATGGCAAAAGGACCTTGGTAGATGTGATTAATTTAAGAATTTTGAGATGGGAAGACCATCCTGGATCATCCAGGTGGGCCAGTATAACCAACAGAGTCCTAGAAGGGAGGCAGGAGACCAGAGTGGGCAGCAGATGTGACAAGGGAAGCAAGAGGGTGGGGTGAAGTATTAAAGGGGCCTTGAGCCAAGAAATGAAGGCAGCCTCTAGAAGCTGGAAAAAGCAAGGAAATTATCCCCTCAGCTTTCGGAAGGAACCATCCCCACTGAGACCTTTAGCTCAGTGAGATGGGTTTTAGACTTCTGACCTCCAGAACTATAATGAATTTGTATCATTTTTCATGCCATTAGGTTCATGGTAATTTGCTACAGTGGCAATAGGAAGGTAACATAGTTATCCGGGAGTTCTTTCTGTTGATACTAGGTGGTTCTCTTCCCCAGTCTCAGGAAGTACCCAGGTTGGGTATAGGTTAACGAGGCCGGTGTGGACTAGGCCAACAGTGCTTTGAAGCTTCTTCTGGCCTTGGGGACCCTCTATATTGTATCCACTCTCAGCTTCGTTCATTCTGCCTCAGTGTGTTCTGAGAAAAGCATCTCATTTTACAACAGTGGGCAGGGCAGCTGGGAGCCTGGGGCTGTCCAATAGGTGACCTGGGGTTCTCTCTCTCCAGGAGCCTGGGCTGCACTGTGGTAGAGATGCTGACAGAGAAACCACCTTGGGCAGAGTATGAAGCCATGGCCGCCATTTTCAAGATTGCCACGCAGCCCACGAATCCTCAGCTGCCCTCCCATATCTCTGAGCACGGGCGGGACTTCCTGAGGCGCATTTTTGTGGAGGCCCGCCAGAGACCTTCTGCCGAGGAGCTGCTCACACACCACTTTGCACAGCTTGTGTACTGAGCTCTCAAGGCCCTGCTGCTGCTGGCCGCCCCTGCTGCATGGGCAAGGGGCTGCTGTGGGGCTCAGCAGAGTTGCTGCTTCTCCCAGGCAAGGCTGTGGACCGTGGAGCTACAGTCAGCCAGCGTTTGTCTGTGCCCCTTCTGCCACTGGGGCTCAGAACGAGGGTGGGGCGGCTGCAGCCTCACGGACTGGAAGCCCCCAGCCTGCCAGACCTGAGAGCTCCAGCCTCATCAGCTCAGCGTGGAGGGTGAGGGGCTAGGAACAGTGTGCGAGGCGCTGCAGGCCCCACCCCTGGGGCTGTGTCCTGACACTGCAGTCAGCACCAGCGTCCATCTTGTGCCATCTTGGGGGCACATGATGGACAGGAGGGTCCGAATAGTGTTACTTTCATTCAGAGTGTTACTTTGTTTCTCCTCCCCATGTCTGGAGATCACCAGGGCATCTCTGGGCTGGATGAGCCCACCCAGGCCTGAGGTAAAGCCCAGCAACCCACAGCCAATGGAAGGCAGAGGCCTGGGCTGCACTCTCCCTCGAGCCTCCAGGTCAGCTTTGCCAGTCCCTGTCCTTACCAAAGATGAATGAAGCAAATGTTATGCTGCCTTATTCAGGGGAGGAGGAGCCCGTCCTGCCTACCCCTGTGACCCTGCCTTCCCAAGCAGGGGCCTGAGATGTGGAACTGCCCCACTGAGGGGGCAGTTTTGTCAATGCAATTGTCTCTGTTTTACAAATTGGAGTCACTCTTATGCTGTGCCCAGTTTTTGAACTGGAGACCGTGGGCCCTCTGGGCTCTGAGTACCCCTGCTATGGGCTCAGGCCTTAGGCTGGATTGGAAAGAGCTGAAGGTAATGGCCTTTGTGCTCCTGGCCTGGCATCTGTTCCCCCACTGCATCAGACAGGAAGATGGACAGTGCGCTGAGAGCCTCTGACCCAGCCGGCCACCCTGCCCTGAGCAAGGCACTTAGGCTGGCCAGGGGAGCTCCATTAGGCTGTCTGTGAATATGGTCCAGCTGGGCCAGACCCTCTCCCACTGGTAGAAGGGAGAGCCCCTGTGCCACCGATCATGTCCATAACCGCCAGCTCTGTTCGTCCTTGGCCAGCCTTGCCCGTCCCCATGAGGTTTCAGCCTCTTTCTCTTCTTGCTCCTCCCTTGGGGGAGGAGTGGCAACAGGGGTCTGGGAGCCAGTATCTCCAAGCAGCTTAGAGTTGGCCTTATTTACCTCAGCCTGGGCGCTGGTCCTTTTTTCCGGCCCCTCCCCTCCAAAATGTGCCTATTGCTAGAGCTCCTCCCTCTCAACACCCAGTTTCCTTGGGAGTTGTCATTAAAGGAAAAAAAAAAAAAAAAAAGCCAGTGCCCAGGGATGGGCATCTCCAGGGAACTGGGGATCAGCGCCAGGCAGCTCATTGCCAGCCATGCCCACTTCCCCAAGGGCACCAGAACAAGCCAAAGCCTTCGTTGTATGTTGACGATGCACTTTTATGAATGTAGTTTCTATCGCTGTTTTTAGCCTTTTCACATCATGTAATGTGAGGCCTTGTACTTGTTAATTTATATCTCAGATCATATTTGATGGTTTGTATATATATCACTTCTAGACTGTTACAGGTGATGGACACCTCAAGAGAGAAAAAAGGAAAGCCGGTTTTGCAGGAATGTGTTGCATGGTGCCAACTGGGCCTGGGCCTATTTTCATCTTTTTCCCCTGGGGGTCTCTGCCAGGCACCCCCAGCCCAGCCCTAAGACAGCGAGCATGTGCTCCTGTCTCCACCTCGGCCCTTGCCCAGGGTGGGGACCGGGCCCCTCATCTCGACCAAAGCTGCCCAGTGGCAGCTCGGCCTCTTCACGACCCCATCCTGATGGCTCCACCACTCTTCTTGGGCTCACACCCGTCTCACCCCCATTTCCCAAGGGGAAACAGCATGCGCGGTGCAGGAGCTGACAAGATGAGACGACTCTGTGTCCCAGGTTCAGGCTCTCACAGAGCCCCCATTCCCAACCAACCCCCCCCAAGGGTCTTAACCTCACAGGGAATGTGTTTTTAAGAACGAATTTGCAAATAAGCCAACCCTGCACTCCAAAATAGACCCTGATTTTTCTGTGTGCCCAAAACTGTGGACATGCTGGCTCAGCATCCTCAGGACCAAGCTGTTGCTTAATTTTAATTTATTATTAAATAATCCAGATGACAAGTTGTGGGCTCAGAATGGTCTGGGCCCAAAGGTTCTGAAGGGCAGTCTCCTAGCAGCCCCAGGGTTGCTGTGGGAAGGGCCAATGTGCTGTTTGCTTATCATTCTGTGGGGCATGTCAGCCTTGGCCAACGCAACAGAGGCCAACACTGGGGACAATCTGTCCTCTGCTACCCTCCTGCCCCTCCCACCCACTCCGCTCTGTGTCTGTGTCTGAATTGTGGATTGTGCAGAAGAACCTGCAGCCATAGTTATCTGACTATATCTTGACCGAGGGCTTGCAGAGCAAAGCCAGGCCAGTGTCGCGCATTACTTAAAATAAAAGGGATCATTTATACCAGAGGGGTCCTGTGGCAATGCTTTTGGTTGAAGTGTGGAAGGAGCAGACATTTGCCAGAAAGGGGCCTGGTATAGTGTCTGGCAACAAACTTGGGTGCCTCAGTGGAGAACTTGTAATGATTCCAAGAGGGGGTGTTAGAATTGGATGACTTGGCTGGTACCACTGCTAGCTCAGAGATGGCACCCCCTTCTCTCGCTCCCAGGAGCATCGCAGAGGGCAGTTTGTCAGCCCCGAGTGTCACCAGTTGTCTGGGTTCCCAGCTCCTTTGTGACATCTAGTAGTCTTCCCAGCCCAGAGGACTCTCCTTGGTCCCGTCCTTTCAAGGAAGGAATCAGATGCCTCCAGGAACCAGCTCACATTCCCCCCAATCTGCTGTTGCTTAGCTTCGAGCAGGAAGAGACCATCCCTGTCCTCATCTGAAGCTTCTGGTGCACTCAGTGCACCCACTCTGCCACTTCAAGGGGCATTGTCTACCTCAATAGCACAATGACCCATTTGCCACCAGAGCTTAAGGCCTAGCTCCCTACCCTGTCCTTTGGGCACGAGATCACTTAAGAACTTGAGTTGTATGGTGCAGTGGCAGCAAATCCCCAGGAATCTGCCCTCTTGCTCAGGCAGTTTCAGGAAATCAGGACAGTTGGGTCTGGGTCAGGACAACCCACCCTCCTTTCCTTTATCCCATTGATGGGGAATGGGGTCTTAGATCCTCCAAGCTTGCCTTATTTGTCATCCCCTCAGAAGAGCAGACAAGCTACTTGGACTCCCTGGGACAGGGACTAAGGTGGCTCTAGCACCAGACCTTGAAAAGGCAGGGCAAGATAATAGATGGGGGAGGGGTGCAGACACTGGGAAACTGACTGCACTTGCTGGATCTGCCCATTCCCTCCATCCCTTGCTGATTTCCAGGGCAAAGGGGGCCCAGACCAGGGCTCAGCAGGAGTCTCGCCTTGTACCCCAACATACTGAAGCGCATTGCAGCCAGGCACGATCACACACTGGTAGACTGGCCCTCTTAGCCAACACAAGGCTGAAGGACAAAGAAGTTTTGGTTATAAACACACTCTGGGTCTAACAGCATGGAGAGCCTGGCTGGGACAGGGACACCCTTTCACTCGGGCTGGCTGCTATTTCTGACACTCATCACTGCTCCCTGACAAGGCCAGATGTGCTCTGAGCTGACCCTGTTCCCCCTCTTCACCTCTGCATGGTGAGTCTGTGCCCTTCCTTCCACAAAGACCCCCATCAGGCCACATAATACAGAGTCAGGATCCGTTGAAACATGTTTAAAACAGGGTTGATCACAACAGAACCAGCAGAAACAGGAGAGAAGGGAGTGTGGCTGCTGCCAGTCTCTGGCTCTCAAGCTGGCAGGTGCTTTAGCTTCTGTTGCTCGATGCCAGTGGTGCGAGATGGTCCCAAGCCCCACTGGGGCCTGCCCTGCCTTGCTTCGCAGGGAGGGCAGGGCTGCTTCACTTCCCCTCCCCTCCCCCACGGAGCCCTGGTGGGCATTCTGAGGCCCAGCAGAAGGCATGCTGCCTCTCCTTCCTCCAAAGTCTCCATGGCTCAGAACCAGGCTAAGGGCAGAGGTAGATGGGGAGACATGGGGGCCACACAGGACCCCAGGTGGCAGTGAGGGAGCTTAGGACCCTGAGGGGAACATGCTGACTCCTAGTTGGAGAAAAGGCACCTAGATAAGGAAGCTGGGCTTGGGGGCCTCCAAGGGAGCCAGGGGGTGAGGTTGGGTAGGCTGAAAGAAGCAGGAAGCAGGGAGCAGGGTGGTGGGCAACCCTCTAATCCTGGTTCCCAAATCCCAACCCACTGAGAAAGAAGGAATCCTGGAGCAGAGCCCTGCCCCTGTAACCCTCTGCCTGAGCAAAACAGCCTCATCCCATTCCCACCCTGCCTCCCCACCCAAGCCCAGGTCCGATCTCCTTCCCACACTTCCCACCATCCTGCTGCAGGCCCTCTACAGAGGGAATGGATGGTCAGAGGGCCTCAGGCTGTCTTGGTGCTGGTGTCCACCTCCTTGTGGGCCCAGAGCTCCTTGTGCTGCTTTCGGCCGAAGCCTTCATCGTAGTTGCCTTTGCTCTTAAACAGCTGCTGAAAGTGGGGCTTGCAGTAAAATTCCCCGTGCAGTGCCGCGTAACTGCCCAGGCTGCAGAGGCAGAACAGCTGTGGTCAGGTCAGGTCAGGGCTGGCAGGTGAGGGCGAGGGCGAGGGCAAGGGCCAGGGCAGGGCAAAGGCGCACCTCAGCTTGGTGTGACAGTGCTTGCAGCAGAAGCAAGAGTTGTGGAAAATGAGCTTGTCTGCCACCAGCCGCTCCATGGGGTACACGGTCTTCTGGCAGGCAGCACAAGTCTCCTTCACCTGGGCGCGAAGGCTGAAGGACTGTCGAGGGGAGAGACTCAGCCAGGGGTCTGACCAGCGCCCATCCCTTCCTCCCCCTACACCCCACTCTCACGGCCCTACCTTGGAGCGCTGAACGGTGCTGGGGCCACAACCGCCTTTGGCTTCCTGAGGGGAGAGGGCCAGTCAGGGCAGGGGCAGCAGAGAGATGCCCCAGACCTTCACTGGGGTCACCAGCCCAGCTCCCAGGGGCACTCAAGGGGAAAGGGGCAAAGGGTGGTAGGCAAACACACCGCTCCTCACCCCTTCATCCCCAAGCCAGACACCTGGTCGGGGTGTCCTCCCACCCGGCTGATCACCTACAGGAGAGGGGGTGGCCTGGGCGGCTCCTGCAGCCTGGAACATGGCTGGTTGGAAGTGATGGAGGCCTGGGTGGAGACGCGGCACCCGCTGGGTTCTGCAAGGGGAAGTCGGTCGGTTGGGCCCCACAAGTCCTTCCCCAGCCAGCAGGGTGGGGGTGGGGGTGTTTACAAGCAGGGGGCTGGGGGCTGTGGTTGGGACTTTTTCTAAGTCATTTCCTGTTGCTCTGGGTCTTGCCACTTCCGCCCTCACCCACCTCCCCCTTCTCCCGCCCGCCCCCCACGCTGCTCCCCAAGGGCCAGGGGTCCCTGAGTGGAAACGTGTATCGGGGGATGAACACAGCGGGTGAAGACGGGGGCTGCTCCGCAGCCGCCCAGAGCGCCCCGAGGACCAGGACCCCGCATGCGGTGGGGGTGGGGTGAGAAAGGTCAGGAGAGGGCGGGCGGGGCAGGGCCGCGGCGACAACCCGCTGCCCTGGCCTGACCCCAACCCTACGCAGCCCAGCCCAGGGCCGAGGGCGCCGAGGCCGGGGGCGCCCACAGCTCGGCTGACCCAGCCTCTGGACAGCGCTGTCCGGCAGCCCCGCGCCTCGGCCCCCAGACCCGCGTGGACCGGCCCCACACCGGGGCCCCCCGCGGGCCCAGCCGAGGGGGTTCTTGGCCCCGTTCCCGCCTGGAGGCCCGCCCGAAGGCCAGCCGCTAGCCTCAGGGCCCGGGCGGCAGCGACAAGCAGAAGCGCTCTGGGGACCCCGGAGAGGCGGCTCCCGCAGCCCCCACCTAGGCGCCCTGATTTGCGAACCGGCTGCAGACCCCTTCCTCCAGCCACACGCCCGCGTATCTCACCGGGTCCCGGCCTGGGCCGCCGGGCGGGGGTTGGTCTCCGGGGGGCGCCTCGAGTGCGAAGTGGGCGCGGGTGCGAGCTGCCGCCGCCTGCCTGTGGTCCCCGAGCCGACGCCGCCGCCGCCGCCTTATCGCGGCGCCGCCCCCGCCGGCCCCCGCCTCGCGCCCGCCCATTGGCTCCGCCGCGCCCGGCGCCGCCGCCGACCCCCTCTGCGCTTTGTCTTCCCCTCGCTCCCTCGCTCGCGGTCCCCGCCTTTGTCTGCCCCCCGCCCCAACGCCCGCTCGCGGCGCCCCGCACCTCCCCTCAGGCCCCGCGCTCGCGGGCCCCAGAGAACGGGCCGCTCGGCCCGCCCGCCCCCTAGGGGGAGGCAGGGACGGGAGCCCCGGGGCCCTGCACTACGAGCCTCAGGGCGGGGATGAGTCCGGGACGAGACGCCTGGGGTCGCAGGGCAAAAAGCGCTCCCGGCGAGGCTCCTTCGGCAGAAGGGGAGTACCGGGCTTCGCCTGGGCCTGCTGCCTCAGTTTCCCCTAGTTGGCCTTGGAGGGCGCAGGCCCGACGGCCTCCTTTCTTCCCGGAGTTCCGTGGGCCCTGCAGCCTGATAGACCCCGCGGGGACCGCCCGGGAGGCCCGGCCTGTGCCAGTGGCTCCCACGCCCCCTGGGGTTGCTCCGCGTGCAGGGCTGCCGAGGAAGATGACAGCGGTGGCTGGGGCGTGCGGTCCCGCCACGCGCGGCCGCGGGGCTCCGAGGTAGAGCCTGCGCCTCACGGAGGGCTCTGGGACCTCGGTGTTCAGTCACCTTCACCTGCCCACTCTCCGCAGGGTCGGCCTGCACGAGGGTCCGGGGGGACCACCACCCCATAGCGCCATCTCCTGCGACCCTCAAGACTAGGGGCCCGGGAAGCTGCTGCCTTAGGTGTCCCAGAGTACTTGCTCTCCGAAAGCGTTTCTGTGGCCAGATTTTGTGGGGTTAGTCACCCCGGCCCTTGCGGGCATGTGCCCTGCCAGGCGTCAGGACACCCCTTTCAGGGAGAGAGATTTCCATCAAGGCGAGCAAACCTCGGTGCGCCCAACCCTCACCGGAGGCAAGGGAGCGAGTCCTGGAGTCTGCAGTGATCCGTTCCCTGTAATGGGGCTGGTGACGCGGGCCGGGTGAGAAGCGCCCCGACTCGACTCGACCGTTCACTCCCTGCTTCGAGCCGGCGCCCCGCTGCCCGGCCCCCCCACGACGGGTCTGAGGCAGGCGCCCGAGAGACAGGCGGCCATCCTTCACGTGGGGCAGAGCCTCGCTGCGCGGGAAACAGGCCGGAGCAGCCTCCTGGACGGGCCTCTGCCTGGAGGGTAGGGGGCCTGCCGGGCACCCGGGACTGCAAAGCCCTGCCTGCCCCCGGGATGGAAGCTGTTTCTCGAAGCACAGCCCTGAACACGGCGTGTGCCCACACGGTGCAGGAATAGAACTAGCGGCCCCGGAGCGCGGCCCACACACTCGCCCGGGAGCAGAACAGCGCGGCGGCCGCACCTGGCCCACTCAGCTCTCCCACCCTGCGTTCCGCTTCTCCGCAGCCTCCCGCGCCTCTCCGGGGGGTTTGTGTTCGGGTTGAGCTGCAGGCCTGAGGGCTGCCCGGATGGGGTGTGTGTGAGAAACTTCAGGCCGAGTTTTCACACCCGTCATCAGATTCTCAAAGGGGGCGGTAGTGATTTCAGAAGGGTGAAGCCCTGGGGCAGAAGCAGCGGCCCAGCCCCAACCCTGAGGCCCCCTTGCCCGGCCCGGGGCAGTCCGTGGGCTGAACTGCAGGCGGCTGCCAGAGCCAGCAAAAGGAGCTGACAAGGTGAAGAAAGCAGTTTACAGGCCAAGTAAACCGTCTGATGATGATGTTAAGAAAAGGGAACTTGAGGTTTAAAGGAAAAAAAATGAGCTGGGCAGAGGAGAGGAGAGTTGAAAATAAATGTGACCTGGCCTTCTCACTGCATTTCAGGTCTCCCCACCCCACCTTGGGGTTGGAGTCATTCTTTCACATCAACCCCTGTAACTGCCCAAGGTTTCGTTCGTTCTTTATTTTTATCCTCATCACCTGAGGACATTTTTTCATTGCTTTCAAAAAGAGGAAGGGAGAAACAGAAAAACACCAATGTGAGAAACATTGATTGGCTGCCTTTTCATGTGCGCCCTGACTGGGGATTGAATCCATAACCTGGGTAAGTGCCCTGACCGGGAATTGAACCCACAACCCTTTGATCTTCCCGTCGCCACTCCAAGCAATCTCTAAGCAATTGAGCCATACTGGCCAAGGCCATTTTGTTATTTTTTAAATCGGTGTTACAATTTCTGAGGAAAGGGAAAGTGAGAACATTTGACAGCTTCAGGGAAGGAGGGGCACTTCCTTAACCTGACATTTGAAGTGCCTCACCCAGAGCAGGGCCCCTGGCCAGAGGGACGGGGAGGCAGGTGCCAAGCTGCGGCACACGCAGGCAGGAAGCACCTCGGAGACCCAGGTTGGAGTCCCCCCCTGGCCTGGCCTCTCTGGCTGCCAGCCAGCATGATAGGGCAGGGCGCCGGTCTGGTTCTTAGGTTACCTGCTCTTCTGGTATTAGTTCCAGTGGTAAGGAGACACCACAAGTCATGTTACAAAAAAAAAAACCCTCCACCCCCTTTCCTGCCAAAGGTGAGCATCTTCTGCCTGGACTCCTGGTGGCCCAGAGGTGGCCCTGCAGAGGGGCTGGTCTCTGGCACCTGTCGGGGTGTCCAGGCTTTCAGCGTCTCTGGGCCACACTGGAAGAGTTGTCTTGGGCCACATGTTAAATACACTGTGATATGTAATCACGCACCCACAAAAATCTCACGGTGTTTTAAGTAAATTCATGATTTTGCATTGGGTGGCCTTCATAGCCATCCTAAGCTGCATGTGACCCACAGCCTGCAGGTGGCAGACCTTTCCAAAACCAAAGTATTCTGATGGCCACACATTAATGTTAATAGTCTCTAAATTTTAGACAGTTAAGAGACAAATCTATTATGTGTTTTATTTAATCCTCACCTGACTACATGCTTATTTATTTTAGAGGGGAGGGAGGGAGGAAGAGGAAGAGAAACATAGATCAATGGTCGCCTCTTGTATGGGCCCCCAAACGGGGATCAAAGCTGCAACCTAGGTGCGCCCTGACTGGGAATCAAAACCACAGCCCTTTTACAGTTATGGGACAATGCTCCCACCAGCCGAGTCTATTATGGGTGTTGACAGAACTGGCATGCCCTGGCCAGTGTGGTTCAGTTGGTTGGAGTCCCTGCAGGTTCGATTCCCTGTCTAAGTTGAGGGTTTGATCCCCAGCCGGGTTGCGTCTGGGAGACAACCCATCGATGTTTCTCTCCCTTCATTTCTAAAAGCAATGAAAAAGTGTCCTCGGGTGAGTGTAAATGCATATTCACACACGTAAACAAAAGAACTGGTGTGTTGTGAGGCTGTCTGTCCACTGACAAGTCACTGCTGCGCTCCCATGAGCACTCGCGGGGCTGCCCTCGAACGGTGGACCCCGGGGTGGAGTGAGACGCGTTTGAGCCTGTGTGGCCACTCTCCAGAGGGGGCTCTGAACATTTTAATGTGTTCTGGCAACAGAACTAACACGGCACAAGGATGTGAGCCCCCTGGCTAGGTGAGACACCATGGCCCTCAGAGGAAGCACCGAGGCAGCGGCAGGAGGCAGTAAGATGGATGGACTCTGGGTGGGAAAGAAATGCTCTATGCAGACGAAGTATGGCAGGTTTCAGGTGTCAGGGCCCAAGCGATAACAAGGATCAGGACGAACTGCCCCAGCTTTAACCTGATGCTTAAAAAGGAAAACAAATGCCCTTCCCTCCAGTTATCAGGGAGAGGTCAGAGGAGAGAGGGCACAGATTGCCTACTGCTTGCCTCTCTGTGGACCCACAGGATCTGAGGGCACTGGAAAAGAATGGAATCTGGCTGGTAGGAGAACAAGAGTGAGAAGAGGAAGTCACAGAGTTCCCTGTGTCAGTGAGTCAAACCCCAGACTTGAACTTCAGCCCCCAAGGGCCAGCTTCTCTTCCTTCTGAAGAGGCCGCCAGAGCTCCCTGGGCTGGGAATGTCAGCTTTCTGGCCCGTCCGGATCCCTTGTGTCTCAGATGCCTTGGAGCAGTAGAGAAGTTTCTCTCCAGGAACTTCTCTCCGGTCAGCAAGCAGGCACCTCTCTGAGCAGAAATGCCCTCTCTACCCAATCTGCTCCTGAAGGACGGGAGTGTGGCCAGCACTCAGGAAGGGCCCCAGAGGCTCCCACGTCCATCCCATGCTGGGAGGTGAGCACCTTCTCCAGAGACTCAGAACTCCCAGTCTTCCACCTCCAGCTCTTCCAAGTTTGTTACTAGGCCAAAGATTCCACTGTGATCCTGAGACTGGCTGCCCTCAAAATTGGTGATTGGGTTGACGGGCCGAAGTAACTCAGGCAAAGCCTCTGAGGCGCGTCGCTTGATCTGGGGGAGGAGAGAGAGTGGGGATGGATCCTGTCACTCTGGGTCCCAGGACATCACGGAGCAAGGAGCCCAGTGACAGATGGGCCTTTGGAGTCAAGAGTTCCTATAAGCGGAAAAAGCAGCACCTTCAAGGGGCTTCAGAAAATGGTCATTTCTTTGATTTGAAGAGGAGAGAACACCCTAAAAACCCCAAAGCTAAGGGGACTGGGGGAGTTGAAACCACAGGCAAGAAAACAAGGGGCTTCAGGAAAATGCTACTGTACCTGCTTGAAAAAGGAATGGTTCAGGAGGGTGCTGGCACTGGGTCTGCAGAGAGGGAGGGAGGGAGACCAGCATCACCCTGGGCCCCCAACTTCCAAAATCCTGTTTCTTATACTTCACCCCAAGTGCCCCTCTGCTTCTTCCCTCAGCTCACTAAGAAAAGCAGCCAGAGCTGCTTAGCCTGGCTTCTTAGCAAACCCTTGGGCCGACCCCTCTTGCTATGGGGGCTCTGGACTCCTCTGGGGAACCCAGACTTTTACAGGACAGATGCATCCTCTCAAACCCTGCCTTAAACCCAGAGCCCCCACTGCTCCCTGGAAGGGCCACCCCCAGCCCAGCAGAAGCACCTTACGTCTGGGTTGCGCTGAAGGCACTGCTCCACGAAGTGGTGGAAGTGGGGGGAAAAGGTTCGGTGATAGGGGTGGGACAGCGAGTCACCATTGGAGGTCCTGGGGGTGCTGGTGGCCAGGCTCTCGTTGAGGCCAGAGTTGGCTGCCGAGCGTGAGGTGCTCATGGTCAGCTCCTCGGCGGGGATGGTGCTGGTGTCCAACAGGCAGGGCACGGTGCCGTTCAGTTTCTCCAGCAGCATCTGGAGAGGACAGAGCCAGGACTGGGCTGGAGGCCTAGAGAGTTTCTTCACAAATACACTTTTCCCAACATACAAACGTGATTTGGGGGAGTAGAGAAAGGACAGAAGTAGAATAAATAACTTTTCCAAAGGAGTGCTGGCCACTGGCTTGGCAGCCACACCCTAGCTAGGGTGTTGGAAAGGGGCTGCAAAACAGTGGCCCCTTCACCATGGCTAGAGGGAAGGGGCTCACAGCCTCCTCCCCTTTATAAGACATCAGATCCTTTTAACTGTGGGACCTCACCCTAGGGTGAAGGCAGCAGCTGGCTGGCTTTCTTTGAAGCCCAGCCCCAATCTGCCAAGCCCAGGTGGGTCTGATGGGGTCTATCAGGCTGCACCTGTAGTGCCACATCCTGGGCTGTCCCCGTGGCAGGCTGCACGGGAGCAGGATGCACAGGGACAGGCAAAGCTTGGGCAGCCTGCCTGAAAGCCCTCAGCCTCGGCACATGTAGAAGCAGCCCCATGCCGGGGATCGCTGTTCCAGTCCCCAGGGATTGCTCTGTCAGAGCCAGAACCCTGGAAATCTCTCAGGAGCTGTGATACTATAGTAGCCACTCGCCACAAGTGGCTCTTTATTTTTAAATGAATTTAACTTAGGTTTAAAACTCAGTTCCTCAGTCTCACTGGCCACATTTCACATGCCTAATAGCCACAGGTGGCTAGTGGCTACCATATTGGACAATGCAGATATAGAACATTTATGTCATTTCAGAAAATTCTATTGGACCGTGCTGTTTCTGGATCTGAACCTCTTATTCACCTTAAATAGCCTTTGAATTCTCTCCTGAGCATCTTTCTGTTAGTGCCTTATAGTTAGGTTTTCTAGATTCCAAGGTTGCCACACCCTCCTAGTCTACCAGATCTAATGCACCTGTTGGAGTGATCTTCCTCAAATACATTGTAGATCTGATGCTATCACTCCTGTGCCTAAAAGCCTTCAGTGACTCTCCGCATGCTTTGCGACAGGAACCAGATATCCTGGCATGGCACACGAAGCCGTGGTCTGCCCTAGCTCCCTCCTCCAGCCACATCACTCTGCCCGGCCCCAGGTGCACCTGTACTTCAGCCATTTACCACAACTTGCTGTTGCCAAGATCCCGTTCTTTCTTGACTCTGGGTCTTTGCACACGCTGTTTCCTCTGCCTAAAAGAGTTTCTTCTAGCTGCCATTCTTCAGTTAATTCCTATTTACCTTCAAGACTCAAGCCACCCCTTCCCAGAAGCCTCCCAGGCCCCCTGCTCTGCAGGGTTCCCTTTGGCCATTCCCGAGCTGCCCTCCTCCCCACAGGGCAAGCGGCTGTGGTTCAAGGGAGAGGCTCACTCAGACTGTGCAACCCTGCTCCCATCCCTCCCTGTTCCAGATCATGTCCCAGGTACCTGGGACCCAGGCAATCTTTGCCCCAATGACCCAAGTCTACTTCTTGGACTTCATAAAGCCTGACTTGATAGGCCTCTTCCCTGGGTCTATTGTAAGGGATGTGAACAGATGTCTGAGAATTCTAAATGAGAAACTGGTTTTCCATGTAAATTTATCAAGGTAGGGAGATGACGTATTTCATAAAGTTATAAAAATATGTGAGCTTGATTTGCACATTTTCAATAGACACCCGGTCTGCGGGCCTCCCTTCCACCTCCATGCCAGGCCCTGCAATCGCTGCAGCGGGCCTGCCCCTGAGCTCCCTCCCCCGGCCCCCACTGGCACAGCAAGTATCACGCAGAAGTCAACAGTTACGAAAGCATCATCCTGGGTGAGCTCTTGAAGGAAGAAACTGTCTCTCATCTGAAGATCCCTGGCGGGTGTCCTGAGTGTGGCACGTACTCAGTGAGCACTTGTGGAAGGAGGACAGGCAGGCAGGCAGGCAGGCAAGCAAGCGCTGGGCTGTAGGCTTACCTGGGTGGCAGGCATGTCCTTAAAGGGCACATGGCCGTTGGCCAGCTCACAGGCTGTGATTCCCACACTGTAGATGTCAGACTTGGCATCATAACCCTGAAGATTCTAAGTTGGGAGAAAAATGCCACACGTAACTCCACTTTAGCCTTGGTCATTGTTCTAAGAACAGGGTAGAGCAAATACTGAGGAGAGGGAAAGAATGTCCCCAAATCAGGACCATCTGCTAAGACCCTCTTTGCTACACCACTGAAGGGGACGGCTCCGTGGGAGAACCGCCTGTGTGGTGGTGCTATGCAACAAGCAGGGGGAAGTGTGGGGCCCGCGCTCCTGTGAGTGGAGGGACGGAGAGTGTGCCGAATGCTCCTTTCCCACAAGAAGCGGAGATCTCTGAAGGGAGCTGCAATAGTGTCAGGCACAGTTTGGGACTCCACAGAGGGGGAACGACTCCACCTGCCAGGGACACATCATACCCGTGCGAGAGGCCTCCCAGGTCTGTCAACAGGAAAGCCTCCCTCCAGGAGCCCGTACTGCACTCGGATGGACGCAGAGAACACCCCACCCCAGGAAAGTCCTGAAGGCTCCCTTGGGAAATCACAAGGTGGTGGGGTTGGGGCTCATCGGGACCTGGTGCAGACCTGCTGGAGGACCTCCGGGCTGAGCCAAGGCAGAACCTTGATACTGTACTTGGGAAAATCGTGGACCACACGTTGCCGCTGCCCGTGGCTGATCATGCTGAGGTTGCTGCGTAAACCGGACAGGTAGACCTTCCCATCCACGGAGATCAGAATGTGGCTGGCTTTCACACTCCTGGGGCGGGTCACATGGTGGGAGAAGGCTGTCATGGGGTGGCAGGAGCCCCTTCCACCGCAAACCTTTGGTCTTTACACACTAGATCCAGTCAGCTGTTTCCCTGGCCGTGCGTGTGTGTGTATATGTATTATACACATGTATATACATATTATATATACAAATATATTTTTGTGAGTTTGAAAAATATACAAAAAAAAGAAAATAACATGACCCCACTTACATATCACCAGATTTTAAAACATATTTATACTTTGTTAAAGTTCTTTTATGCTCACAGACCACTACTTCCCCTACTACCTACTACCGGTGACCTGTACTTTTTGTGTATTCTTGTCAAGTGTGTCATTGTTTTGTTTGCATGTATTTTTAATTTACCTAGTGCTACTGTGTTACGCATCCCATTCTTCCGTTGTCTCTAAGTTCTGTTTTGAGATCCATCCATGCTGCCATCTGCGTACACCTCATCTTTGCCTCTAATTGCCACCTACACTCTGGGGCGGGGCCTAACACTTACTCATCCACTCTTCCAGCACGGGACACTCGCACTGTCTCCCACCATGAATATGAACAATGACATTGCGTACACGGCCCCAGTGGGCGTGTGTGAGGATTTCTTCGCAGTGCACACCCAGAGGCAGCACTGATGGTCCCGGTTCCGAGCGACCCTGACTGGTTGCGTTGGGCCGTCTTCTGCTATACAGACAGGAGGCCCCACCTCCTTATCGCACTGGGTCTCACCCAGCCTCCAAATTATGCCACTTGTCTCTGCTGTATAAGCTGACATCTTGTTTTTGGTTTTGTTTCTTTAATTTATTTTTAGAGGGGAAAGGAGGGAGGAGACAAAGAAACACTGATGTGTGAGAGAAACATCGATCCGCTGTCTCTTGTATGCCCCTAACTGGGGACCTGGCCTGCAATCCAGGCATGTGCCATGACTGGGAATCAAACCAGCAACCTTTCAGTCCACAGGCCAATGCTCAGTCCACTGAGCCACACCAGCCAGGGCATCCTCCTGTTCTAATTTGCTTTTCTGATTATTGCTAGATTTGAGTGTATGTTCATATGGCTGTTAGTCTTTTGGGTTTCCTCTTTTATAAACTTCATATCCTTTACTCATGTCTCTATGACTTGGCTATCCTTCTCTTGGTGATTCCCAAGACTGCCTCGTTACTAATCTCCATGGATTTAGACAAAGCTAACGTCTTCCATGCTGTCACCCATTTCTCAGCTTTGTTCAAGGGGTCCTTTATCGGAGAGAAATCTTTAACCTTGATATAATCAAATACATCAAGTTTTTGTCTTATGTCTTGGGCTTCTATAATATTTAGAAGTTCTCCTATACTTTTAGCCTCAAAAATATTTCCTCACATTTCCTTGTAAGTCTGTGGTTTTACACCTGACATTTATTTAGGCCTTTAATCCCTCTGAGATCTTCTGTATGTGAAATTAGGCAGGGGTCCAGTTTTATAACCTTTCCTACTGTGAGCCGGTCTCCTGACACCATCTACTGAGCATTCTTTCTTCTCCCCAGCCCTCAGCATAGGGCCAACTCTGGGCTGGCTGCACACACCGGTTTGGGTGCCCCAAGGAAGAAGTGAGATGGGGGTGCCGCAGTCCACCTCAGCTGTCCCTCCCATACAAAACTCAGGACCACGTTGTTCAGGAAAGAGAAAGTCAGCAGCTCCAGCACCGACAGGCTAAGTGCTCTGTCCACCAACTTGGAGGCCAGGGCAGAATTCCAAGCCTGATTTACACTCTGGTTTCACTAACTTCGGTCAACCTTCCAGTGTTTACTCGAGGGCTCACGGGCACAGACTGCCACTCCTGTAAAGGGTGAATGCGCTCCAGAATGCACCTGTGTACGTATCCCATGTGGTGGATGTAGTCGAGGGCCTTGAGCACCCCCTGCAGGATGTAAGCGATCGCCAGCTCATTCATGCCATCCATGAAGTGTGTACAGATGAGATCTTTTGCGGAACCTGAAGAGAAGAATTATAGGGCGACAGGGAAGAGTAACAGGGAAGGAAACTGCACGTAAGCCAGCTGACAACAGAATTCTCAGAACGAACCCCTCTGCCAGCAGCCCTTTCCCACTCACCATATGCCATGAATGATGTGACAACCCATAGCTCGTTGTCTGCAATAAAGGTGGCTTGATACGGCAGGATATTGGGGTGGTTGAAGAGTTTAGAGACGTGAAGCTCCCCCTGAAACCAATGGTAAGCTGAAGTCAGAATCAAGGGGCACTGAGGAATGACACTCTACAGGAAGGTGGCAGCATGAATGATATAGGGACCTAGTACTTTCTTCTGGATGCTCTTCTCAGAGTCCTGAGAGCAGGCTAAGCAGGTGCCTCCAGGATGAGAGAAGCTGGCTCTGTTCTCTCTGCAGGGAAGGCAGCGCTGCTCTGCCAGCCCTGCCTACATTTGGCTCTGCCAGCCAATCCCAGACAGCCTCCAGAAACAATTCCCCACAGACAGGAAAACTGCTAGCAACACAGTTCACCCCCATGGAGGTGATGAAAACAGACTGTTGACTGAAGACTTACGAACTTCTAAGTTTAGCTCAGTTTCGAGGGTCAAGGCACAGAACTCTTGAAGATAAAAAAAAGGAAACAAGAAATATTTTCCTCTTATAAAGGAAAACGTAGCCAACAGAAACAAAGGAAGAAGGCATTCAAGAAAACGACAACTATTAATATGGAAAGCTATTTCTCCAGCAACTTCAGACTGAGAGATCGTTTCCTTAGGAGCAGCTATAGAAAGTGCAAGACCTATGCAATTTTAAAATTAATTTTGACAAAAGATGTGAAAAAAATTGGACAAGTGAACTCTAGAAACTCTAGGGCCCTGGCCTTTGGGATGTGAGCTGAGGCCAAACAGGCAGTACCTCCCGTTCTGCTCCACAGAATGTCCGACACGCTCTAGGACAAAGTCAGGTATGTGTTTCCCCAAATAACTCAGTTGGCTCTGACTTTCTGTCCCATCCTCCGATCTGCAAAACTACTCTGAATCTGTGAACTGGTATTAGAGCACCGTCAGATGAGCGTGATTTCAGAAAAACATTGTAAATAAAGAAGGGAAGGGGGTGCAACTACCTATACTGAAAATACGCTGACCCAGGCCCTAAATCCTAAAGGAGTTCCCAGAGCAAGCCTCCATCAGCCAAGGAGAAACTCAGTCTGCAGCCAGTCGTTAGACCTGCGGTCTCTCCTTCTCCAACAGAAAGGAGCCTCGGGCAAATAGGACGCTAAGAGCCACGAGATGGCCACCCGTGGCAGGGCAGGTTGCCCCCACCTGGAACAGAACTGCCTGGGTTTGAATCCTGCCTCTGCCACTTACTAGTGCGTGTGACTGTGGGCAAGTTACTTACTTAGCCTCCTAAAAATAAATAAATGAAGCACAAAGGACTCGCTGGAGAAAAGGGGACTATAAATTGGGCTGAGCAGTATTACAAAATCCTTAGTACCAACAGCCCAAGATTCTTCATTGAGACCGTGCACAACTTGTTGGCTCCGTCTACCTTCATTTCCTGCCAGTTACTTGCAGGAGACGGAGGTAAGACACACTTTGTAATTACTACTGGACCTAAGAGCCCACCCTCCAAATGTCACATTCACATCTTATTACCTGCAAGAATGTCACCATCTCGTTGGAACAGGCTTCTAGGTTAACCCTTCGGACCGTCACGTACTCTCCGGTTGGTTTGTACCTTGCTAGATTCACTGTCATCAGGTCCTCAAAGCCTTTGCCTACAAGAAAAGAGGAATGCCATCAATAAGGACAATACCAACAAAGGTCCTCTTCCTCCTTCAAGAGACTTGATTTTAAAAGAAAATTCAAGTTAAAACTTTTATTACTTTTACTTTCATGGCGGACAGTTCTTGGTTTTTCTCCTGTTAGTTCCTTCTCAGCCAGCCACTCGGACTGACTGTGGCCCAGGACACCACAAGTGTGCAGCCAAAGAGAAAAAACTGCAAGAGTTCCTTTCCTGGTAATACGACCTCTCTTCCCATACTTGTAAAAACAAAGCCAAAGAAGACCCGTAAAAGCCAGTTGTGTCACCACGAATCCTGCAAGTAGCTGACAGCCTCTGGCACACGTTCCGGGAGATGCTGGGAAGCTGCAGCCAAACCCCGGAGCGTGACAGTCGTGACAGCACTTGGACATTACCTATGATGGTGAGGAGCTCGTAACACCCTCCTTCCGGCAGAAAGCTACTCATGATCTCCTGCTTGGGGAAGGATGCTATCGACTCTGAGCTCGCCTCATTGGTCTAAAGAAAAAGAAAAAGAAGTTAATAAGATAAAATTGGGGGTGGGACAGAGGTGGGCAGGTGGTAATTCAGACCCACAAGGAGACTTGGCATCTAGACAAACAGAAATTCTGACTCTGGGGCAGAGAGCTGGTACCAGTACTCTCTGAGGAGAAATGTAGAGGAAAGCATCAGGGGCTGGACGTAGCCCTGGGACCGCAGCCAGTGTTGGCGCTATCCACAGATGAGGGTGGGGGACAAGGCCGGTTCCAGTCGGCTGTTGGTTTGCTTGTCCTTCCAACTGCCTCATTTGCCAAGAACTATAAACTTCTTTTAAAATTAAAAAATCATACTTTTTCAACTTTAACAGACATTTAGTATTGTATTATTTTCAGGTATACAGCATAGTAAAAACTGAAATTCTCACCTGGGGAAAGAAAGGCACATTAACAAAACAGAAGGGAGATGGGAAGGTGGGAGGGTCTCTTGCATTTCCTGTTGCATTAGGGTCCTATTTTTAAGGTCCTGACTATAAGATCCCAAAGATCACACACTCAACCTTGCTATAGAAGGTCTCCCTTGCTTTTGCTCTTTAGCAAAGCAAGACCCCACACCAGTCATTCCCTGACATTTCCAAGGGAAGCAAGAATACAGCCAACAGACACACTGGGCTGCGGGCGAGAAACAGATCTGTCAGGTCTCGGCCATCATCCCAGGCAGCAAGGGCGACCTGCTCCTTGCACCTGCCCACTCATGCTGCAAATGAAGCTGGAGCCCGGCTGTTTAGGATGCGGGCATCACACCACCACTGGCCTTCTGGGTTCCGAAGGGAAGCGCCCAGCAAAATACAGGGTGGACCAACAGCTCTTCCTTCAGCTTAACAGGCCCAGACCTAAATGAACTTGTAAGACTTAGGGGCTGTGTATTTTTCTTTCTTTTAGATCCTCTTTCTTTGGATGTGCACCTACCTAAAATGGAGAACCTTAGGCTACTTCATATTTCATATGCTGTGTCCATAAACCTGACCTCTACTCAGAAAGAGGTCTTTGTGAATGCACAAAAGGTTCTTGCCTCAGCACAAACCAGAACCGTGTGAATTGAGAATGTTCTGACATGGTGGCACCACCTCATTTAATCAATGTTGTAATTCTAATATTCATTTATATTGTTGTATTTAGCCAGATTGCACACCCATGCTATATAATTTCACCTTGGGGACATATCTCAATTTATCCATCCCAACATTGGTAGGCTTCTGGGTTGTTTTTCAGTTCTGCTACTCTGAACCGTGCTACTAGAAACACCTTTGAACGTGTCTCCTGACACATATATGCAAGAGTTCCTCTAAAGCTGATACCTAGGAATGGGAATGCTAGGTCACAGAGTATATGAACAGCCGACTTAACAAGATAATGCCATATTGCTTTGCAAAGTCATTATACCAAGACACTCTCCCACCAGCAAAGTGTATGTGTGTTCTTGTTGGCCCATCTTTTCCCCAACACTTGCTGCACTCGGACTTAATTTCTGTCAGTCTCATAGTCTCCTTGTGGGTCTGATTTACATTTTCCTGATTGCTAATGAAGTTGAGCATCTCTTCATATATTTATTGGCCATCTGGGTTTCTCCAAAGTGGAAATCCTTCTTTCTGTCTCTTGTCCCTTTTTCTACTGAGTTGGTTTAATGCAGGATTTCCCCAAAGTAGGCCCCACAGAACGTTGATTCTGGCAGTTAGGCATGAAAAAAGTCTATACATCCAATTAAGTTAGAAAATGCAGCACACTCTCTCTCAAGGAGAAATCACAAGGTGTATCTGCACCTTAAAGGCTTTGGAAAGTTCCATAGTAAGGAAACGTGTTCAACTTTCTTTAACCTAGCATTTCCCAAAGGTACTTGTCCAGAGAACCCTTTTGCGCCTAATATCTGTTAAATTTGGGAAAGCATAATTTGGGAAAGGCTACTTTAAGTAAAACATGTAGTATAATGCAAAGACCACAGGCTTAGAGAAGCCAGCCAGTGGCAGACTTGAACTCGGGTCTATCATATGCTCTGTGACCCTGGGCAAGTCACTCTCATCTCAAGGGATCTCCACTATCTCATCAGTGGAATAATTCCCACTTCATAGTGTTGTCATGATAATTAAATGAGGTATAATATGTAAGGAGTCTAGCACTGCCTGGTTTTCAGTAAATGCAAATTCTAGTCTCCTCCCTCTGCTGCTGACTACTTTTTGGTCACTCTCCTGCTCAACATAAAAGATGGACAAGAGAAAACAGAGAAGCCTATGTAGAGCTTGACTGACAGTTAAGGCTGGTTTGATCTGGGTTTTCAGATGTTCTGAAAACAAATTCTAGGCTCATTTAATGGCCACTGTAGCTTCTTGAAATAATCTCGTCTTCAGAATCATCCGAAGACACTGGTTACTACACACCAGGTGCCTCACGCAGGTAAGGGAGACATGGCCAACGCACAAAAACGGAGTAGCAATTTGAGCAAAAAGTTTAAACCAAAAGCTCTGAAATGGCGACTCCTCATTTGTTTAGAATTTACAAGCTGCATGCTAAATTAATCCTGAAGGGTCCCATCTTCTTACTCTTATATCTCTAACCTGCTCCTCATACCCTTGCTCTGCAGATCCTGTGTTCTCAAGTATCAGTCTACTCCTTGATAAAATCCAGGTGACCAGTTAACACAAGCCCAGGGGATTGCTTTCAGACCCAGCTGCCTCCTCTGGCCTGTGAGCATCCCCTTGCTTGGCCCCTGCCTGCTTCCAGGACTTCACCCTACACCACCTTCCCTTGACTCCTTACTGGAGCTTGTTGCTCCAGCCTGGGGAAACTTGCACTAGCTGTCTTTGTTGGGAATATTGCTGCCCTACTCCTTCCCTGCCCCTGCCATTTTCTCACGGTTGCTTCCTCCTTATTAAGGAGGTCTGAAAACATCGTTTATTCATTGAAGACTATCCAGTCAAAGTATATAGTAGGCTCTCAGCTTCTTTGTTATCTTGCTTTACTTTCTTCACAGTAGGTATCACTGCAGTCTTCTTATCTGTCACCTGTGTCCTCTAGTAGGATGCAGGCTCCACGAGGCCACAGACCGTGTTGTCTTGCGCACTGAGGCCTTGATCCCCAATGCCTACAACAATGTGGGCACATACTTAAAAATCATTTAAGCAAAGTTGGAACTGAGCAAGTTTCCTGCCCATGACCTCGTCATACCCACAGGCTGAAAAGGAGAGTAGGGTACCAGCCAGTTCCTTTGGAGACAGGGTTCAATACAAGGACCTATACTGGAAATGCCAGTCCTCATATAACACATTCTCTTGGGGGCATGGTATAGATCAGAATCTGTACCTGCATGTGAGAAAGTACAGCAGGTCCTCAAATAACGTCGTTTCATTCAATGTCATTTCATTGTAACATGGATGAGATGCTGTAAGGACTTAACTCTTGTTTATATTAATTAGTCTATGGTTATGCATTATTTCTCTTAAAGTTGTAGAACCTATCAACAATGTTAAGTGAGGGCTTACTATACTGCATTTTTTAAAAAAGATTTTATTTATTTGTTTTAGAGAGAGGGGAAGGGAAGGAGAAAGACAGAGAAAAACATCGACGTAAGAAAAACACTGATCAGTTGCCTCTTGCATGCGCCCCAGCTGGGGACCAGGCTTGTAACCCAGGCATGTGCCCTGACAGGGAATCAAACTGGCGACTCTTTTGCTCTGTGGGATGATGCCCAACTCACTGAGTCACTCCAGTCAGGGCTATACTGCATATTGTTAGGGTTGTTTTTTTTTTTGTCCCAATGAGAACAACAAATCTAGCACTACTTTGAAGGTCTTCTTTCCTCTAATCTCCAGGCAAACTCCTAGAGGAAAGCTGGAGTCCTAAGACTAAAATATTTATTATAGACATCTTAAATAACTCCCTTTGGAAAGATAGATACTTTTATTTACCTATGTCCCTCTTCCTTGCTAGGACTGCATATAAAATATACTGTCTGCTAGTCTACACTCCAAAGACACATGCTTGTTGAATCTGGGTAAGGAATGATTCATTAAACTACTGATATGATTAGTTAATAAATTTCTAGATATTCCTACTATCTTTGTTGACTACAGAAAAGTACTCAAAAGCATTGGTTTTAGAAAATAAAATTCTTTGGGTAATTGGGAATATGAGTTCTTGGTCAATCTGCAATTGCATGAAGGGAACTCACCTAGTGGTTGCTGTGGCTCCACTACCATTCTGCCCTCAACCCACTGGAAATGACCCTAAATTGGAGGCTTTACTTTTTGTGGAGGTCCTATAGGTCTGAACTCAGAGAAAAAGCAAATTTTACTAAGGGAAACATAGGTGATACTTTGAAAGGAAGAGGTCTGTTCTGACACTGCCACAAGAAAGGAAGGTTAGTTCATTGTGTTGTTTCAAATTTAAAAAAGGTCAAAATTCAGATGAAAAGGATAAAATATTCAGTCCATTCTCTTTAAACACAGCATAACTGCCCTGGTTGGTGTTGCTCAGTGGGTTGGGCATAGTCGTGCAGAGCAAAACAGTCGCCAGTTCGATTCCCAGTCAGGGCAATGCCTAGGTTGTGGGTCAGATCCCCAGCCGGGGGCGTGTCAGAGGCAAGAGATCTGTGTTTCTCTCCCACATTGATGTTTCTCTCCCTCTTTTTCCTTCCCTTCCCCTCTACTCTCTCTAAGAAATAAAATCTTTAAAAAATAAAATAAACGCAGCATGGCATAGGTTTAATGTGATGCAAAATTTCACACTGCCTGAAGAAACTAATTCTGCCAAAGACTTTTCTTAGTTTCCCCCACCATAAAAAGCAATATTTTTCATTTTGAAACATTTGAAAAATACGTAAGCTACTGATATCCAGAAATGACCATAACATGACAACTTTTTAAAGCGTTCAAAACAAAATACAACAAAGCACACAAAACAATATTGGTGAAAGGTTACCAAATACACACATTTAACCTCCCCCAGGTTTCACACAGGAGAGCTTTTTGGTGTAACATCAGCAACTGTGAAAATACAAAAATTATATATAATTGGCATTGTATTCTGAAGATACCTAACTGATCTTATAGAAAATATTTTTGGGCCCTGGCTAGTGTAGCTCAGTGGATTGTGTGTGGGCTACGAACCAAAGGGTCGCTGGCTCGCGTCCCAGCCAGGGCACATGCCTGGGTTGCAGGCCAGGTCCCCAGTAGGGGGCCTATGAGAGGCAACCACACATTGATGTTTCTCTCCCTCTCTTTCTCCCTCCCTTCCCTTCTCTCTAAAAATAAATAAATTAAACCTTTAAAAGAGAGAGAGAGAAAAAACATTTTTGGTCTCCTGACTGGAAAATATTTGGATCTGAGAGAGAGGTTCTTGCTCCTGACTAGCAGACTATGTCAGAACAGCCAAAGCTTTGCTCAAAGAGAAATTCCTAGTCAACAGCCTCACTCTTTACTCAACCATGCGGCTGTTGCAAAGGTGCAAATGTCTGTCATCTGGAAAGTGTAGGAAGTGTCTTTAGAAAAGGCTTCTTACCCTCTCTGTTTATAAGACACTGATTCATACTTATCAAAAATAGCTTGGTACACTGTGCACATGTGGTGTTATTTCCTCCAGTAAAATAGGATTGAAGAGTAGGAAGCTGGGCAAGTCTTTTTACAGCTTTTGCCAATAAAAAATGCATCTTCTGTTTTGTACTTTTTAATTTGGGGCTTTTTATTTTTTAATATATTTTATTGATTATGCTACTACAGTTGTCCCATTTTCCCCCTTCACTCCCCTCTACTCTGCACCCCACCACATTCCCCCCTTTAGTTCATGTCCATGGGTCATACATAAAAGTTCTTTGGCTTCTACATTTCCCATACTATCCCTACCCTCCCCCTGTCTATTTTCTACCTACCATCTATGCTACTTATTCTCCACACCTTTTCCCCCTCTCTCCTCCTTCCCTGCTGATAACCCTCCATGTGATTCCATTTCTGTGGTTCTGTTCCTGTTCCAGTTGTTTGCTTAGTTTGCTTTTGTTTTTGTTTTAGGTGTGATTGTTAATAATTGTGAGTTTGCTGTCATTTTACTATACATGTTTTTTATCTTCTTTTTCTTAGATTAAGTCCCTTTAACATTTCATATAATAAGGGCTTGGTGATGATGAACTCTTTTAACTTGACCTTATCTGAGAAGCACTTTATCTGCCCTTCCATTCTAAATGAAAGCTTTACTGGATAGAGCAATCTGGGATGTAGGTCCTTGCCTTTCATGACTTGGAATACTTCTTTCCAGCCCCTTCTTGCCTGTAAGGTCTCTTTGGAGAAATCAGCTGTTATCTCATGGACACCCCTTTGTAGGTAACTGTCTCCTTTTCTCTTGATGCTTTTAAGATTCTCTCCTTATTTTTAATCTTGGCTAATGTAATTATGATGTGCCTTGGTGTATTCCTCCTTGGGTCCAACTTCTTTGGGACTCTCTGAGCTTCCTGGACTTCCTGGAAGTCTATTTCCTTTGCCAGCATGGGGAAGTTCTCCTTTATTATTTGTTCAAAATAACTTTTCTACTTGTTGCTCTTTCACTTCTCCTTCTGGTACCCCTATAATTTGGATGTTGGAACGTTTAAAGATGACCTGGAGGTTCCTAAGCCTGTCCTCATTTTTTTGAATTCTTGTTTCTTCATTTTCTGATTGGATGTCTCTTTCTTCCTTCTGGTCCACACCATTGATTTGAGTCCCAGTTTCCTTCCCATCACGATTGGTTCCCTGTGCATTTTCCTTTATTTCACTTAGCGTGACCTCCATTTTTTCATCTAATTTGTAACCAAATTCAACCAATTCTGTGAGCATCCTGATTATCAGGATGTGTTTTGAACTGTGCATCTGATAGGTTGGCTATCTCTTCGTCGCTTCATTGTATTTTTTCTGGAGCTTTGACCTATTCTTTTGTTTGGACCATTTTTTCTGTCTTGACACGCCTGTTACATAGGGAGGGGCAGAGCCTTAGGTGTTCACCAGGGCAGGGCAACCTATGTTGCTGGGTTGTGATGCGGTATGTGGGGCAGGGTTCCGAGAGGGAACAATGGCACTTGCTCTGCTCTCTGCTGGATTTCAGTCACTCCCCCACTTCCCCCAAGCAAATTGGGCCCTTCTGGTGCTAATTCCCAGGTGGGTGGTGTGTGTACATTCCAAGACCCTGTGGGTCTCTCCAACAAGCTCTCCTGTGAGGCTGGGAGTTCCTCCTGGTACCTCAACCCCCACAGGTGTTTTCAATCAGTGTTTTGAGGCTTTATTTTCCCGTGCTGGGCCCTGGGTTGTGTGGTCTGTCTCGATCCCCAGTTTCACCTGGTGTATCTGCATGCGAATGTGGGACTGCCCAGTCTGCCAGCTGCCTTGTGCACCCTGCCTCTCCACAATCCGCCGCCTTGCTGGGTCCACCAGCTGCTGCCTTGCACAACCAGGGTCCACCAGCCACTGCTTTGCCGGGACCCCCCAATCCCCGCTGTCTGACTCCGCCCCTCCTACAGGTCTGGATGAATGTGTCTACTTTAACTCCTTGGTTGTCGGACTTCCATACAGTTTGATTTTCTGTAAGTTCTGGTTGTTTTTTGTTTTTAAATTTGTTGTTGTCCTTATTTTGGTTGTGTGAGGAGGCACAGTGTGTCTACCTACGTCTCCATCATGGCCAGAAGTCCTAATTTTGAGATTTTTTTAAAAAGATGTTATTTATTTATTTTTAGAGAGAGGGGAAGGGAGGGAAAAAGAGAGGGAGAGAAATATTAATGTGAGAGAGTAAGATCAATGGGTTGCCTCTCTCACACCCCTGACCAGGCACCTGGCCTGCAACCCAGGCATGTGCCCTGAACAAGAATCAAACCTGAGACCTTTCAGTTTGCAGGACAATGCCCAACCTACTAAACCACACCAGTCAGGGCTTGGGTTTTGTTTTTAAGGTAGAAGATTAGACATCCTACCTTATAATCTAGACAGAGGTTATCCTTTGTCAATATCATCTCTGTAGACTAAAATCTATTAATAGACTAAGGATGGAAAATTTGGTACCACTAGCCACTAAAAGGTAACCACATTTTAGATTGTTGGACTTCCTCCTTTTTTGGAGGGGGTGGCAGGTAACTGGGAAGGTTGGGAAGGGGAGGAAACCTTAATTGCTAGGAGACAAAAAGATTTTTTTAGTTTTCAAAGTATGCATCAAAATCTTTCCAGGGTGAAACCTGAATCTCTACAAGTAAAAGAATTATACTTCAAATAAAGCTCAATGACAGATAAGCAGAAACAAAATGATAAGCCAACAAAACACATGAATTTCCACAAGAAGTCATGTCCATGCAACAGCCATAGTGCTAGAGCCTAGAAAGTCACTTACTTTTCTCCGAGTGTCACCCGGAGGCTGCTCTGGAGTAGAGAAACGGGTTGTTGGCATTTTGTTTTTTAGTAGAAGACATACACACATTCAGAACAGCAATTACTGCACTCAGGACTACATTTATTAATAGACACAATTTAAGATTCGTTACAGTAGAGAAAGTGTCTGCAGTGCCACATATAAACACTGACAAATGGACACACACACACACACACACACACACACAACTGCACAGTAAAAATGCTGCAGACAAGATGGGGTTTTTAACATGAATCTATGACTCTTCAAAACTTGGCCAGGCTGCTATCCCATGGGCATTCTTGACTGAGTATAACTCAACTGCTATAACCCTGGTCATATGCTGACTTTTCATTGGCATGCAATGGTAATTCTACTAATCTGGTTTCAGAGTCTTATACTGTGAACAAACAACTCATTATAAAGTTACAGTGATGGCTGGCTATTTCTCAGGGAGTGCAGGGACTAGAAAACAGGTTTAAAAAAGAAGGCAAAGAATGTTTTCATACAGTGGCATGTGTACCTGGGACCATTACCCAATTTGATTCTCTAGTCAGACATTCTATTCCAAATGCAAATAAAGCAAAGGCTTTGAGGCCCTCTGCTCCCTTAGCAAAAATTAATGGAGCAGAGGAAAACTGAAACAACTTTCTGCTCTTAAATTGGACAAATTCTGTATCTGTGTTTTTTATTTTCTCCACTCTGTAAATAAAAATCATCAAAGCCAGATTTTTACTGTATTGGACACATTTCCAAATACCTTAAAGTATAAATTACAGCATCTAACTGTGTTGCTAGAGGAGACTGGCTACAGAGTCAAGTAGCCTTGATTTATCAAAATAAGATTTTGTGGGGGGGGGGGGCATTGAACATCAGTTTTCTGGTACACAAATGGCAGGAACAGTTGCTTCAGACAGTCTGCCAAAGGTAAGAGCCAGGTGAATAGATTAAAGGAAATCAAACCAAATCTTCCAGAGTAGAGGGCAAATTTCAAGTTGTATAAAACTTGGTAACACATGCTTCATCAAGCTGTAAACAATATACAGAACAATCTCTTCATCTTCCCCAGGTCAGAGACTAGTGAATTGTCAAAACACAGCCAGAGATCCTACACTCAAGACACTGAAACCAAAATCCATTCATTCAATTCACATATACTAGAAAACTTTTAACTAATAGATTATAAACTCGATTCCAGCTCAATTTCCAGCAATGCCAATGTTTATTTTTAAACCACTGTATTCCCATTAATGATGGGATGAAACTGAAAACAGAACCAGAATATAATATTTTTGTACCATTAGCCTTTCCTTTATTGTATGGCTAATTTTTAGTCTTTATAATGAAATAATTCATCATTTTTCTAAACTCTCACTTGTCTAAAACACACTTTGACAAGCTTCACAAATAATTCTACTCCAGAAGTTTGTTGAGTGGCACTAGGGAAAATAAATCCATAGGTATCACCTAGTAACTAACAAGTCTGAGTTTTCAATTACTTAAGCCACTCGAGGGGTATTCTGCATCAGCCACCCAATGCATTCAATCTGATAACCTGTTTCTTTAGCTACAGGTGCCAAAGAGAGTATTTTGGTGTTCAGACACAAAGAATAGGGCTCTACTACTATTATTTTTCTAGAAAAGAATTTTACTTAGCATATTAAGATCACAGTTCCCAAAAAGGCTAAATTGGAAAATAGCCAAAGGAAGATGTCTGGGCCTGTTAAATTTTTAGGATGGAAACCTAAATTACTTCTGAAATCAACATTTAGATTTTCCAGTAGGAAGTTAATATTTTGGTCCCAAGACTTTTTTTTTCCTTAGTTCTCTTAAGTCTCATAATTTCTATCATGAAAAGATGAGTCAACTAAACTGATCAGTAAAACCAGAACTTTTACATCATTGCTACCTTCATCCTGACTATAATTTTATTTTTAAAATCTTCAAGGCTAGTGGCTTTTAAATGGTTACTTTTTTTCCCTATAAGAATATGTATTTCAACTGGACAAATACTTAGAAGAAGAAAGACATGTGCCTTTAAGTGAATGTTGGCTTTCTAACACTCAAGACAGGCTAATGACAACAGCCAGATTAGTCCTCAAGTCTCTGAGAAACCATGGATTCAAAAGGAGCCAAATTAGTATAACAATTATAGTTTACACTTCCTCTTAGAATTGTTAATTTCTATAAATTGATTCAGTCAACAAGAGTAGTGAGATTTATCCTGAAGTAATGGCTAAATGCCATACTGTACTTACCTCCAAATAGTTCCAAATCTCTTAAGCCCTCAACAATGAACTTTTCCGAGACCCACCGCTAAAGAGGAAAACCCCAAAGAGAATTAGTATTTCTTCCAAGCCACAAAAAATTAGCTATCAGCCATTAGACAGACAATAAAACACAACTACAAAAACAGAACCATGCAGTAGAGTTAAGATACACTTTTATTGAAAAGTTTTGAAAAGATTCTTGGATTTAAACCAACCCAGAACAATAGATTAATTCCTTTCTCTATTCCTCTTTGCCTAATTTGAGAATAATTCTTAAATCGGAAAGATGAGAAACACATAGTACTGGCTCTGATAATGAAGAACGTTTTTCTCCTTCCTATATATAAAACAACCTTTGGATCCATCTTACTTATTCCATAGCTGCCTATTATAGATGCTTAGGACCATGAATGCCAATGTGAAAAATACTACTGAAATTCACAATACAGAAAATAGGAATGGAACTGTAGTTTTTCACAAGCCTCTATTAGTTTGTAAAAGGAAATTGCAAGCTGCATATTCTTTCATCTACTAGGATGTGTAAAGACATTACTGCTTACATTTGCTACCAAATGCTATCCTTACAAGGACAAAAACTAGCATGACCAATCTATGGTTCACTTTACTGGCCTATTTCAAACGAGTATTGGATTTCCACCATAGTGATCAGTGGTCTGGTTTCACCTGAATCAGACTAGGTTGAAATAGAAAAGAAGCTCATATTTAAAAGCAATGGAATCAAGATTGTATTTCACTTAAAGACTGGTGTTAAAGTTTGGCTTGGGGACATTTTTTCCACTGTGCAGAGTTCAGGCTAAGGAAAGAATCTGTTTTTCCTCTTAATTGAGAGTGAACTTTACTCTTTACAATATAAATTATTTACACATACACACACATATACACATACATAAAAAAGATTAAGTACCATTCAGAAATAAGTTGCATAATACAAATTATAGATTGGAGCTATAATGTTATTCTTTCTCTGTATCATTTTTTTCTAAATTAAAAATGAACTGTTAATTTTTTTAAATGATATATAAAACACATGCACTGTGTCACAAGATATTTGATAAACTGTTTCACTTTAATATGTTGAGAAGGTGTCATATTGATAATGTCTCATAGCATTTATGCATTGGTACAAGATTTAAAAATAATTACTACTGCATTTAGAAAGTAACTACTTCATAATAAAATAAAGGATATAGAAATAGACCCATGCATACATACATGGTCAATTAATTTATGTTCAAAATATGATACTCTTTTATGAAATTATGGAAACTTGTAAAGAAGCTAAGTCCAGTATTTGTTCTTGAGGTAATTTTAGCTGATGAAGTTCAGGTATAATGAAATTTTTCATGTTAAGAAAGTTCTCAATCAAAACCTATGATTATACTTAGAAAAAAGCAGTGTTCTAATGATTACAATTTGATACTGATTTATTTTTATTATATTTTTTCCATTACCATTTGTCCTCCTTATACCACCCACCCCTGCAATCACCACATTGTTGCCTGTATCCATGAGTCCTTTTTCCCCCTTTGCTCAATCCCTCCGCTCCCTGACCCTGCCCCAGCCCTGTCAGCCTGCTCTCTACCTTTGAGTCTATCTCTGTTTTCCTGGTTAGTTCAGTTTGTTCATTAGATTTTTAAAACACATAATTGCTGAAAATACATACAAAATGGGGAGGTGGCCAGCAGTTACATATCTACACATTCAACTGATTTAATGTTGAATGACTGATATTCAAAAAATACATCACTTATTTCTCCTCTATCAGACAAGCTGGTGGGTGTATTCTGTGTCTCTGGTCAGCCTCTGCCTGCAAGCCCTTTTCTCAGGAGCAGAGGCGGAGATACTGGCTTAACTTCCCACGTCCCTCTCTTCCGCATGATTCTGAGCATCACATAACAAACCACCTACAATACTGCCAAAACACTTTGCTTTGCAGAAAATAAAAATAGTAAAGCCAGAAGAATAGAAACACTCACCCTAATTCTCTCTGGTTTACTTACAAGAAAAGACATGAGTTCCTAATGTGTAGACCTATTTCAATTTCGAAAATTTAAACCTAAAAGGAAAACAGAAATAGGATGAGTTAGTCAAATCTCCTTTTATAGAAATACCTTTTGACCAACAAGAAACTTACTACAAATCTACCATTCAAAGCACTGTATTAAACCTATAAATTGCTAGAGTCCAGTGATTTAGTTTCTCTAAACAATCAACTTGAATGTACTTTGGCCAAGTGCATCCTGAAACAACACAATCTCTTTAAGAGAGAAGTTTATTACGTGATTTTCTTCCTTAATGTTTAAATTTCTCTCAATTCTGTTCTCACTGATCCTTTCCCAGAAGCAGTTACCTTGCATTCTTTTGGCCTTTTAACCTGTTTTTCATCATCATCATCTTTTTTTTTATGATTCTGTTTGTTTATTTTTAGAGAGGAGAAGGGAAGGAGAAAGAGAGGGAGAGAAACATCAATGTGCGGTAGGCTATTGTACACCCCTCACTGGGGACCTGGCCCGCAACCGAGTCATGTGCCCTAGACCTGGAATCAAACTGGTGACCCTCTGGTTCACAGGCCAGCATTCAATCCAATGAGCCACATCAGCCAGGGCCATCATCATCATGTTTGTAGATTGATTTCTGGTCGAGAGGAAGGGAGAGGGAGAAAAAGGGAGAAACATATATCAGTTGCCTCCGTATACACCCTGACTGGGGATCAAACCTGCAACCTTTTGGTGTATGGGAAGACGTTCCAACCAACTGAGCCACGCGACCAGGGCATTGTCATTCTTAAATAGTGTTTATATGGCCATGATTTACCCACTTTAGACATTTATGTACTAACTTCCAACCACGGTAGATGAAGACTAAAGCTCTGCTGTGTCACCTTCCTGCACACTACTTTCCTGCCTTCATTCTTCCAGTGCAGTTCTGGCACAACTGTTGACTACATCAGTAGTACACATTTATATTACTTTGACTACAAACATGGTTCACAGCTGAGGCAAACAGGTAAAGATGACCATGTCTTCTTTCTTCACACCCATTTAATAATTGCCTTCCTTTTTTCATGCCCTTGGTTTTCCATATAGCTATTATTAATTTTCTCCAAATACTTTACATCTCTGCCATTTGTCTTACCAATATATTTTTCCATAAACTGAAATTCCCCTGGAGATTACCCTCCCAGCACCCTCCATCCTCCTGCTGCAATTGGGACCAACTGCTTTCTCACCCATCTGCACTTTTCTATTCGAATCTCCCATTTCTGGGAAATGTTCTTGTATTATTTCTTTGATAACTTTGTCTCCTCTATTTTCTGTTCTCATGTTACAGAACTCCTAATAAAAATACACTTCTAGAGTTATCCCTTAATTTTATACTTGTTTCACTCCTATTCTATAACTTTCCATTTTCCAGGAGGTTTTTTCAACTTTACTTTCCAATCCTGCTATATTTTAATTTTTGGTTACACATTTCCCAGAGCTTTTGCCATTTCTTGAAGGTAATCTTTTTTATCACATCATACTGATCTTGTTTTATGTTTGCTATTTACACTTAAAAAATTTTATCTAGAATGGCTAAAAGCCTAATACCTCATGATCAAGTGGGGTTTATCTCAGGATAGGTTGAAAATTTTAAAATGAATCAATGTATACAAAACTATCTTTGTTGGAAGTTGTTTGCAAATAACAACCAATTTTAATAAGCTTTTAAAATGGATCAGTCTAAATTTACTTTATTAATGAGTAAATAAGAAAAAATATAATCATCTCAATCACCTCAATGGAGGAAAAGCATCTGACAAAAATTCAACATCAATTCATGATTTTAAAGAAACTCTCAGTCAACTAGGAATAGTCAAATAGGAATAGAATGGAAATAGAATTTACCAAGTCAACTTGGTAAAAAACATGTATGAAAATTTTATAGCTGACATCATACCGAATGACAGAAAGAATGAATGAGTTTCCTCTAAGAACAGAAGCAAAGCAAGAATGCCTGCTCTCATCACTGTATTCATCACTGCACTAGTGGTCTTCCCCAATGCAAAAAGGCAAGAAGAACTCAAAGGCATACATGCTGAGGGCAGGGGCATATGAGGCGACTAAATGGCAATGGGGAAAAAATACAATCAAGATTAAATAAAAAATTTTAAAAAGGCATACAGATTGGAAAAGAAGGTGTAAAAGACTATTCATAGACAACAAGACTGTGCACACAGAACATGCTAAGTAGTTTACAAAAAATCATTAGACCTAAGAAAACAAATTTAGAAAGAAGGTCCATTATAAAACCCAACTTTATTTCTATATACTAGCAATGAACAATTAGAAGATGAAATTAAAATATATATATAAATAGTAAATATAAATAAAAACAACACAATGTATCAATAAAAACATAAAATAAGTAGGAATGATTTTAATAAATTATGGATAAGACCTGTGTGTTTAAAATTCTACAACATTGTTAAGAGGGATTAAAGATGACCCAAATAATAGCTAAGCCATCTTCATGGATTGAAAGATTTAATATTGTTAAGACATCAATTCTCTCCAAATTGGTCTACAGATTCTGTACAACCCCAATCAAAATATTAGCAGAGTTTTTAAGAGAAATTGATTAAACTGATTCTAAAATGTACATGGAAATGTTCATAGAAATACAAGGGACCTAATATAACCAAAACAAATTTGAAAAAGAACAATGTTAGAAGATTTACATTCCCTGATTTCTAGACTTACTTTAATGATACAATAATCAAGATAGTACACCTCAGTCTAAAGACCAACAAATGGATCAATGGAATGGAATAAAGGATCCAGACAAAGACCATGAATACATATATGGTCAACTAATTTTCAAGAGAGACCAAAGTAATCTCATGGGAAAAAAATAATCTTGATATATATTTAGAAAAAAAAATGAACTTTGGTCCTTCCCCACACCATATACAAAAATTAACTTGAAATAAGAACCAAATGGGAGAATGAGCAAAAAAGGTGAAGGGATTAAGATGTACAAATTGCCAGCTATAAAAACAGTCACAAGGATGTACACTACGGGACAGGGAATATAGTCAATACACTGTAATAACTATGTACAGTGTCAGATGGGTACTAAGTTTACTGGGATGATCACTTCATTATATAAATGTCTAAACACTATGTTGTACACCTGAAACTAATACTGTATGTTAACTGTAATTTAAAAATAAAAAATAATAATTTAAAACGGATCACAGAACTAAAGAAAAAGTTAAAGTTAAAACTACTAAGAAAACACAGAAGAAAATCTTCAAGATCTTAGGATAAAGAGTCAAAAAAAGAGCAAAAAATATTAAAGAAAAATGATAAATTGAACTTTATTAAAATTAAAAACTCCTGCCTTTGAAAAGACACCACAAAGGACATGAGAAGACTGGGAGAAAACAGTGTGTGCAGTGTCTACAAAGGACTTTATATAAAGACTACCTAACACAATGGAACACTACTCAGCTGCAAAAAAAAGAAAATTTTACCCTTTGCAACAGCATGGATGGCCCTGGAGAACATTATGCTAAGTGAAATAAGCCAGTCAGAGAAAGACATAAGCCTGTGTCTATATGATTTCACTCATATGTGGAACCTAATGAACAAACTGAACTAACAAGCAAAATAGAGACAGACTCATAGACAGAAGGTAAGCTGACAGCTAGTGGGGAGGGGGAGGTTAGGCAGTGGTGGGATTAGGCAAAAAGGAAAAAGGACTCATGGACATGGACAGCAGTGTGGTGATTGCAGGGGTGGGGTATTAAGGGGGATAAATGGTAATGGGTAAAAAAAAAAAAAAAAAACAAACTGTCTAAAGAACTAGCCCTGGCAAGTAGCTCAGTCGGTTAGAGTGTTGTCCCAATAAGTTAAGGTTGTGGGCTCAATCCCCAGACAGGGCACATACAAAAATCAACCAATAAATGCATGAGTAAGTGGAACAACAAATCAATACTTCTCCCTTTCTCTCTCTTCCCCAAATCAATAAATAAAAGTTGGGGGGCAGGGAAAGAACTTCTACAACTCAATAGCAAGACAACTCAATTTAAATAAAAGGCAACATATTGGAACACAAGGTATACGAATGGCCACATAAAATGATGATGTTCAATATCACTTGTCATCAGGGAAATGTACATGAAGCCATAATAAGATACTACTACACTTCCACCAAAGTGGCTAAAAATACTGACAATACCAAGTGTTGACAAGAATATCAATCAACTGGAATTCTCATACATTGCTGGTATAAATGCAAACTAGAACAGTTACTTTGGAAAATAGTTTAACAGCATACTCAGTGTTTGAATCCTCACCCGAGGACATGTCCATTGCTGAGGGGGGGGGGGAGAGAGAGAGAGAGAGGGAGGGAGAGAGAACAAGAATGTTGATCGGTTGCCTCCTGTAGGTGCCCTGACTAGGGATGAAACTTGAAACCTAGGCAGGTGCCTTGACAGAGAATAGAACTTATAACCCTTTGGTGCATGGGACAAGGCTCCAACCAAGCCACTTGGCAAGGACAGTTTAATAGCTGCTTATGGCTTCTGCTCCTAAGTAATCTACTCAAAAGAAATGAAAACATACACTCATATAAACTTGTACAGGAATGTTCAGACACCATGAGTCATGATAGCCCCATATTGGAAACAATCCAAACATCCACCAATTGATAAGCATATAAACAAAAGGTGGTATATATACCAGTGGAATACTACTAAGCAATAAAAAAGAACACCCATGGCTGGTGTGGCTCAGTGGATTCAGTGCTAGCCTGCGAAACAAGGGGTCATCAGTTCGATTCCCAGTCAGGGCACATGCCTGGGTTGTGGGCCAGGTCCCCAGCAGGGGGGTACGTGAGAGGCAACCACACATTGATGTTTCTCTCCCTCAAAAAAAAAAAAGGAACAAACTAATGACACAGACAATGGTATCTTGTTAAATGAAAGAAGTCAGACACAAATCTACATATTATTCCCATTTACATGAAATACTAGAAAAAGTAAAAAACACAAAAAGCTGATCATTGGTTGCCTAAGACCCAGGGTGAGATGAGACCAACTTCAGACAGACAAGAACTTTTTGGGGTGATGGAAATGCTCTATATCTTATTGTAATCGCCTGGTGTGGATGCATGAGTATATCTGTCAAAAGTCAACAAACTGAACACTTAAAGTAGAAGTATTTTATTGTAGGTTAACTATATTTCAACAAAGTTGATTTAAAAGTAAAATGACTAATTATCAGAAATGCTTTTGAAAAATGTCCTATATTTCCTCTCCCTCTTTTTTTAGGTGGGCTAGGGTTCTGGCAGTAATATAGCAGTGGGGGTGGGGCCTTAATCTGGTACCTGGAGTTCTAGGAATCCTCAAAACTGCTTCCAAAAAATCAAAGGAATATTTTTCAAACCATGGGAGGAGGCCTTTCAAAATTATCTACAGATTTTTATCAAATTGCATTTATTCTCACCTCTACTCTAATCTTATAAAAGCTACCCAACATGTAAAGAATCATTTATCCTGCTATGAAATAGAAAAACTGTAGATTGAATTTGAAAAAAAAATGCTAGAGTGCATATTGTTTAATAACATTGAACACAAGGCAACATGCAAAAGAAATTTAAGAGGAAACAAGGTCCATACCCATGTGTAATCTACAGCAGAAAGGAATATTAAAGTAAAGAGATGAGTTTTATCCACAGGAAAAAGACGTCTATGCTCTTGAAAAATATTGGAAATAAAAAGTCAAGTCAATTCCAAAACACTGCTTAAACAAATAAAACTACCCTTTTAGAGGGACCTGAGAACTTATTCTAAGTTGCCACATCAACAGCTTCACTAATGATCTGAACCCTTGGTTCCCAAACCGGGATGTTTCAAATTAATTGGTGTAGTTACAATAGCCAATGGATGTCTAAATTCCCACCTTCGAAATTTTTAATTCAAGGAGGCCTGATGATGCACAAGTAGAAATGGGCAACTTCTTACTGACCTCAGCAAAGGGAAAGATTACTGGAACAGGGCTGGATCTGGATAGTTTCATGAAGGGGTGGAGCTTGAATGAATTCTAAGCATGAAATAGTATTAGCTACTAATTATCCATGGCCTACGCTGTCTTGTCCAGAGGTGTGCATATCTCCCAGTTTCTAGAGTAGTACCTACCACATGGTAGGCCCATAGCAATGTGGAATGACTGACCAAATGTGCTGAGAAGCATGTCAGCACTTAATGGGAGGCAGTTATAGAGCAGAACTCCACACATACAAGAACAATGAATAGGTCTTAATTGCATGCTAGAGTATGGATTTATTCAGAAGGCAGTAGAAAACCACTAGGTTTAAAACAGAAAGGGGACAAACACAAAACTGTGGTCTAAGGTAGCGTCTCTTAAACTTTATTGTACATGTAAATCGCTTGAGGATCTTGTTAAAATGCAGATTTCAATTCAGAAGGTCTGTGGTGGAGTCTGGTGGATCTAACAAGCTCCCAAACAGTGGGAATCCTGCTGATCTGTGGGCCATCACATTTGACAAGCTTTATCCTGAGGAACATAGAAGGAATATTAAACTGTAAAGGGATGGGAAGTGGGTGAGGTAAAAATAACCCAGAGAAAGGAATGCCAGTTAGAGTCAATTATAGTGGACCACAAGTGTGGTGAAAGAGCCTGTGGCAGAGGGAATGTTAAGAAATAGAACAAAATATAAAAAAAAGAAAGAGTTAGATGGCGGGGAGAAAAATTACAGAAATTGTAGTTAGTAGTAAGGACATCGTAAGTCACTTAGCCCATCTACCACCCTTTGAAGGGATAGCTTTTACAAACTCCTGGTTATAAGGTTATCTAATCTCTGCTTAAAAATGTCCCATGCCAGAGACTTACTACCTTATCAGGGAGTCTATTCTATCTGTGGACAACGCTGATGACTCTGATTTTGTGTGTGTGTGCTCAAGTAACTAGGAAAAGAGTAGTGTATCAACCATAAAACAGGAAAGCTCAGAGGTGAAAGTGGTTTCGGTGGAAAGATGAGTCCAAGTTTTTAAATCATGTTGCAGTTGAGAAATCACCAATATATTCCAAGTCGAAATACATAGCATTCATTTAGAAAAATTAAGGCTGATGCTCAACAGAGAGGTTAGAGATGGCTCTGTGGACCTCGGAATCAGGAGTTAAAGCTATACAAGTGACAAGTTCAGTGAAGGAAAAAAGTGGTGAGAGAAAAACAGAAGGGTGGGAAGAGCCTTGGGATAGGTCCATAGTGAGGTCATGGTGCTTGAAAGGCAGGGAGGAAATGGAACCCCAAGGAAACACGTTCAAGACCCTGCTTTACCTTCAGAACCACCTTCCTGCCCCCAACCTGATTAACTTAGACCTGTCCCTCTCAGGTGTCCTGTGCTTCAGGAAGTCCTCCCTAACTCGCTATGAATTCACCTCTTACACGCACCACACTCTTAATTGCGGATTTATCAGTTTCCTCCACCAAAATACAGAATCCCTGAGGGTAGGAAATGATGGAATGATCTTGTTCACTGCTGCATTCCCAAGGGCTACTGTGCCCAACACATAATATGGGCACTTGGTAGCTGCTAAATTAGTAATAGTAAAAATAGTAAAAGCAGCAAACATTTATGGTGCACTTACTGTGTACCAGGACCTGTGCTAAATGCCTCACAGAGATCAACTCATAATAAGTATTATCTTCCCTGTTTTATAGATCAGAAAATTCAGACTCAGAGAGGTTAAACATTGAAAGTTACTCTACAAACCAGAGACGCACAAGGGAGACTCGTCAAGACCGTGGGCGCAAAGATAAAATGATGACTGAGAAGGCATCGCCTGATTTGACAATGCTGTTGACTAGATGACAAATGGTATACAAAGGAGAATTACTTCATCTTGTTTGATTTTTCCTATTTTTAGCACTGGTTTTCTAAACTTCCTACATGTCTGGGGTTCAACTATAAATACTGCATTTGAGCCAGAAAACCTCTAAGAGACCTGGTTAAAGAGTGAACAAATTTAACCAGTTCAGCATTGTAACCAATGGCTGAAGAGGCTCCTGTCCTGGGACAGGTAGTCAGGTAAGATTCGGTTTCTTCAACTCTCAGGGACAAGGAACAGTCTTGGATCTCTCAACAATGTATGAATCAATCAATGAAGAACTGCCTAACGCTGCAAATACATACTGGAATATGGTTCTACACACAGATATTTAGATAAGGAAGGGACCCATTCGAATGACTGTTCCTCTTTGGGGGATAAAGTTAGGATACGTTAGGATATCTTAGCAGAAGGCTGGTCAGAGAAGTTAGTTGCCCATCTGAGAAATTGAACTGCTTCATTTAACCACGCCCCTTCCCGTGCACACTTCCCTCCCCTCACCCCCAATCTGCTGTGGACACTTAAACATACTTGGGAAACAAGACAATGAGAAGGTCTTTGCTTTGGCTGATTCAGGCAGTCACCTGTATCTCTGTCCTCACGAGGTCTCAACCCCACTGACTGATCAGCCCGGGAAGCGATGGGGATGGAGGGGGAGTAGGAGGGAGATAAGCACTAGACTATGCCGCCTCTTTGCTTCAGCAGGAAAAACTGAACCTGGGCCCCAGGTTCACCACCTGGAAGTCAGGGGGTTAGAAGGGGTGGGAAAGCAGGCGCTTGCCTCTCCGGCTCTGCAACTCCGCTCTGGCATCTCCCAGCCAGGCCCGAGCCTATTCTGCTCTCGTACTGCAGCCCCTCAGGGAGGGAATCGAGGAGGACTCGGGTGAAAAGGGGACTGTGGAGAGCGAGGCGGGGGCCCGGGAGGGCCGGTCTGAAGAAGGCCCGCCCCGAGAAGATGGAATCGGAGTTAGGGAAAGAGGATGGGCTGACGATCCCTGGAACGCACCAGGCGGCCCCGCCAGTCCCATACCTGGTCCTGGAGTTAGCAAGCAGTCGGGACAGCTTCTCGGCTCCGCCTCCTCAGTTTATGGCCTCGCCGCTGCCAGGCCGGTTGCTGGGGGGGTGGGGGAGGCGGGGATACGCAACGTGCCATGCGCAGTAGAGGGACCCGGGAAAGCTGGGGAAAGAGCCCCGCCCCGCAAGGGTGGGGAAGCCCCGCTGGGCCCCTCCTAGCCCACGCGGGTGAATAACCTCAAGCATGTTTCCCTGTCTTAGGCCGGTCCACAGGCCGCTCCCTGACTGGTTCTGCGGTGCGAGTTATCTTGTTTCGCGCAGCGCGTACCTGAGGGCCTTCTGTCTCCAACAGAAGGGACCCATTTCCCCAAGTGGGTGAAGGCCAAAGACCTATCTTCTTGGTGAAGGTTCTGGGTTTGAAAAGGGCTTCCCAGAGCCCCCGCCCCCGCGGCAGGAAGGAAGTAGTCTTAATTTCAATAATGAAGAGCTAAGGGTACAGAGGCTAACCAGCACTGGCTGCTGACTTGGCTACTTTGAGAATTTTACTTTCATGTGGTAGGACTTGTGGAAAAACTCCTTCTATACTTGTTTTAAAAACTTGATTTTAGTGAGAGAGGAGGTGGGGTGGGGGAGAGAGACATGTTTGTTTTTCCACTTTGATGCATTTACTGGTTCTTGTATGAGAAGACTGAACCCACAACCTTGGTATATCAGGACATTGCTCTAACCGAGCCAGGGCATGCTTTAAAAAAAAGAATACATCCCAGTGTCCCTCACTTTGGCCTCTTCTGCAACAAACTGCCAAGTGATACAGGGGAAACCCATCCTTTCTCTGTGGTCCAGGTAAAAGAAGGAAAACAGTTCAACTAATAGGATCTATAATTTTTTTTAAATTTATTTTTATTTTTAGAGAGGAAAGGGAGGGAGAGAGAGAGAGAAACATCAATGTGTGGTTGCTGGGGTTCATGGCCTGCAACCCAGGCATGTACCCTGACTGGGAATCGAACCTGCGACACTTTGGTTCACAGCCCGCGCTAAATCCACGGATCTATAATTTTTATCTGGATCCTTTTCCCCCTGGATTCTTCCTTATGTGCAACTCTTGAGATATATTCTGATTGCAGAAACCTTAAGGTTTGCCTTGATGAGAAAGCTAGACTAAGCCCAGGCAGGGCTTGAGAAATGATGGAGCAATCTCAAGTGATGAAGCAAGTCTCCCCTCTGAGGCTGCGTTTTTGTTTTTTGTTTTTCTCCCAGTGACTTAACTCCACCCAAGGAGGGTTTTCCTCCCAGAACTGCTTATATACCATCAAGTAATGTACACTCACTCTCCGCAGCTCTGACCCTGGATGCAGATTTTTTTTTTTAGATTTATTTTTAGAGAGAGGGGAAGGGAGGGAGAGAGAGAAACATCAATGTGTGGTTGCCTCTCACACGCCCCCTGCTGGGGACCTGGCCCACAACCCAAGCATGTGATGTGCCCCGACTGGGAATTAAACCAGCGGTACTTTGGTTCACAGGACAGCACTCAATCCACTGAGCCACACCAGCTAGGGGCCTTGATGCAGATTTATATTGGTCTAACTTCTAGGATGGGAGAGTTTAGTTACATCCAAACAGGAACTGATGAAAATATGGACACTGAAGGGGAATTTTGCCTGTGAAGAAACAGACACCTCAAGGTCTCGCTCAATTTTACCTACATCAGTGATCTTAGCTGGTTAGTGCTTTAACATTCCAAAGCACGACACCTCATTATCCTTTTTTTTCCCTTCACTATTTTCTCATTCTCAAAATAAGATGCCTTCCTCACAAAAACTTGGTAAATTGACAATATACCATAGTAGCAGAAACTGAAGTAAAATTCTTGGTGGAGTTCTTCTGAAAAGACCTTCCCATGTGGTCTTTGGCATTCGGGGGTACTAGAAAAGTCAGTTCCTAAAAAGATGCCAAACTTCATGCAGCCAACACACTGGGGAATTTAAATATGTAAGTACTTCCCCTCTGTTCTAGTACCTGGCCCAGTAACTGTCATTTTCAATTTTGGTGATCAGATTTGCTGATCACCAAAGCGGCTAAAAGATTTCACCATCTTCCTGATTGTCCACAAAAGCTAGAGAAATTTTTGGCCCAGACTATTCCCTCTCAAGGAGCAAATCTCTATCAGCTTTAGTTTTCCGTGCAATTTATATAATTTAGAAAACCAGTGTAAAGAAAGGTCAACTTTCAGAGTTTATGAAGTCAGTCTCTTCCTGTTTTGCTTTTCCACTTGTTATGAGCCCTGGGGTGCACAAGCTCCCTACTGCTTTTCACTTAAACTTAAGAGTTGGGACTCTCCAAGATTTCTGGCACTTTCTGAAACTGGCTTGAAGCCCAGAGGGATGGAGAAGGACTGAAGATCCTGTTTTGTTTTTAATTCTGGGCACCCAGTTTAAACTAAGTGCATTGCCCTCTTCGAAATACTATATAAATTAACTGTGAGAATGGTAATAGCGTAGAATACTTAAGTAAAATGTTTATGATGTGTAGTTTAACAAACTGAGCAGGATTATTTAATTTACAGATTTTATATATCAAAGCACTTAATACATGTTATCTAATATGATCCTCTGAACAGCCATTTTAAAAAGGGGAGGAGATAATGCCCACTTATAGAGGAGGAAACAGACTTGTTCAAGCACAGGGACAGCACCTGGGTCCCCGCCCACAAATCCAGGGCCTTTTCCTGAAGCAGAAAACTGGCTTCAATTCTAGCTTTGCTACAATCTTGCTAAGTGATAGTCACATGTAAGAAAACGATGCAAAAGACAGCTATTTAAACATTTAATTTGAAAATGTGATAAGAAAGCAGTCAAAGAGTTCTCTCTAGCAAAGTTGGTCCAATGAATAACTGAGGCAGATGTAATGTTATCTGATTTCCAAATAACTCCCATGGAACTAAATACTTAAAAGGGCCTGGGTGCCTTTTTACATAAAGTTACACTATTTGGATAAAACCAAGGAGGTGAAATTAAAGAGGTCAGTTTATTTTAAAAGATGAAAATGAAAATAACATCCATTAAAAGTGGTATTGCAATAAACATAAGGTTCTCCTTTTCATTGAAAAAAAGAAGAAAAAAATTAGCCCTGGCAGGGTGGCTGTTTGTTGGAGCATCGTCGCCCTTACACCCAAAGGTTGCGGGTTCGATTCCCAGTTGGGGTTTGTGTGGGAGGTGGGCCATCCATGTTCCTTTTTCACACTGATGTATGTTTCTCTCTCTCTTCCCCTGCCCCTTCCTCTGTCTCTCAAAAAGGTCAATGATAAAGAAATCCTTGAGTGAGGATTAAAAAAAAAATTAGCTTTCTTCTAAAGATGGTATTCCCAGTTCACAGAGCTGAGAAAATGTCCTTCAACCTGTGCAAAGATAAAAAGCACTGCACTTTCTTCCAATACAAATAAATCTTTTGCTGATCACCAAACTCCAAAAACTCGAAAAAGTAATACTTTTTGCTACTGCTTTAGCAGTCTGTAACAGAAGCCACTCCAATGGGTATAACTGCCCCTTGTCTAAATCCTTTCATTCAAAATGAATGAAGGCAGGAACAGTAAGAAAAGAGAACCCAGGATGATATAAAGTACAGTATTTCATCCCCCCACCAAAATAGATCCTGTAGACACTGCTGTAAATAATTTTCACACTGCCCATTCCTGCTGGATGAGTGGAATGAAAACATCAATCAGTGTTTATCTTTGGGCTAAGCCCCATCATAGGAAAAGAGTTTCACATCTGGTGCTTGACAGGAAAAGCTTATATTACTAATGAAACAGAATTATAGACTATTACTCTCCCCCCACAAGAAGCATGCCGTCAAATTTTGCAGATAAAGTAAGAGAACTCTGAAAGGATCTGCTTGGTTTCCATTGGGAGAAACACAAGAGAGTAAAGCAAAAAGGCACCACTTGGAAAATAGTTCTAGAAGACATCTTACATTTTTATTCTCTTTAACTATAAAAGGAAATTTATTTAGAAAGTTACAAAGGTGGCAGAAGTGAGCCAGCTGGGCTGTGCAGGCTCAGGAAACAAGCAAAAGGGCCCTTGGAGCTTAGGAGACAGGGGTGGAGAGGAACGAAGAAGAGGGGGATGGGAAAAGCGCCCCTTATATTTTTAAAGTGCTATAGTTTAGAAGAGAATTTTACAGATATTATCTCTTGGTGTTGACATACCTGTGAGGTAGGTAGAGAAAATAATTACTATCCTCACTTTGTAGAAGGAAGAACAGAACAGAGATTCCAAAAGGTTCATGACTTGCCCCAAGTCAAAGGATTTGTTACTGGGTTTGCATGCACAGGCGTGCGAACAAAATCAGAGAGCTCAGTGGCTTTCCAATGCATGACAGTAGACAACATTCTCCTCTCTGTCTTCTTATTCCTAGGAGAGAGAATGGTGACCTAGTTCAAGAGGGAGACTTCAGGGAGGAGCCCATTAAGAACATATGGGGCTCTAAAAATAGAAAACATTTAAAAATACTGGCAACAAATAAGGGATTTTTTTGTCAAGGCCAACCAACTCTTATGAAGGAAAAGCATTTCAGTGCTGATTTTTATTGAACAGGAAAAAACATTCCTATGGTCTTATATTGTTGTAGGGAAACCCCAGAAAAGTACAATAGGCACTCCTGAGATTTTTGTCAATGAGTTTAATTTATGTCCATTAGTTACCATTCATATGAATGCTTAAATTACAAAATTAGCTGCCATGGTCCAAATATGTGGGGCTTTATGAAAGTTTTTATTAATCAAAAGATAGCTAAACATATCAATTTTTATTTCTAAAACATGTTTTAAAGATTTGTAAAACAAGGCTCATTCTAGAATTACATAGGATTAAATTTTGTTATTTTCGTTTTATTTTAATAACTTAATTTCATGAACTGTTAAAAAAATTACATTTACATCTCCCAGTTGACACATTTCTGTACTAACCTAGAGAAAAATCCATGTGAAAAGTTTCCATGCTGTTACAAAGGCCCATTCTGTTTCCACAGCAACTTGTTATTGCCTCAGAACACACCTGCACAAAAAGCTTCAGCAAGAAAATACCCGCCCACCCCTCGCCCACCAAAAAACCCAACCCTTCCCAACCCCAGC